ATACATATATACACACACACACACACACATATATATATATATGTATATATATATATATATAATATACATATATACATATAATATACTATTTATACATATATATATCTACATCTATATATATATGTGTGTGTATACATATACATATATATATATATATATATATATATATAAATATATAAATATATAAATATATATATATATAAATATATAAAGATGAGTATATATACATATATGTAGATATATACCCTTGTAATACATATTGTTATTTCAGTGTTAAGTGATGTCTGCACAGTTGAATCCTGGCACACACACTGTGCAGGTAGCTGTAGATGGTGTGACCACTCTGTGATGCGCGCATGTGCTATTTGAACCCGTGCATACCAAACACTGAGTCCTCTCCCATTGTATCCGCTCCTTGTATCATCCCTTCTGCAAGTTTGTCTTCTGGCTGTAGGTATTCTGTGCCAGAACTCTTACTTGCTGCGTGTCTGGCCTTCATTTTGGCGCAAGTGCCTATACATTTAAGTTGAAGAAATATTCAAGGTATTAGAACACAACCGAATGCTTGGTTGGGTCGACGAGTCATAAGCGTAAAATAATCATTTGAATGAGTACGTATGTACGTATGTCTATGTATATTCGCGAGCAATATATAATGCATGTGGCTATATATATTCACAACCGGAAAAGTAAACTCTTGTTGTAACGTTTCTAAATCTTGGAGTCGAGAAAATAAGTTGTATCTGACTTGGACATTGCACCACCTCAGCAGGGAGAACGAGTACTATCGGACACTCGTGAGATGGTCAAGAACAAAAGACAAGGAATATTAATATGCCATCGCATCGCGCTAGTAGACACCCGTGCGTATATATAACGTATATATTGTACGGCATCACATGGATAGGGAAATTTGTTGGCCGCGTGCGATCCAATTTATGTATTTGATAAGTGCAGTGTGCTTTGCCGGTTTTGCTTGAATGTATTCAGGATGTTTCTACCCAATATTAGCTTAGCTGTTTGTCTATTTATATATATATATATATTACAATTGCTAGTACCAATGTGGGTATAACAGCACATGGACTCGGCCAATATATATCTATATCTATATCGATATCGATATCTATATGTATATATATACTTATATATATGTATATATATATATATATATATATGTGTATTTATATATATAAATATATAAATATATATATACATACATACATACACACACACACACACACACACATATATATATACATATATACATATATGCATATATATATATACATATATGCATA